AGTCATTAAAACACAAATAGACATTCTTCTGTTATCCTCTGTGTTTATCCAAGATCTGTCTGGCATCCACAGTGTATCTCTGGTGCCATGGCCTCCTCTAAACCCTGCTTGAACTTCTTGCAGTTCCCTATTGTACTGTTTAATCCTTTTTTGGATGGTCTTCAATATTTTCTTGTGATAGTAATGATATTGTTCTACAACTTTCACATTCTTTTGAATCGCCTTCCTTGGGAATGAGAACAAATAAGCATCTCTTCTAGTCAGTAGGCCAGGCAGCAGCCCTTGAGTCACTTCTAGTTCTGCTACATTGACTTTTTTTTCCATTAATTTTTTCGTACATACTTTTCGGAAGTAGAGGTGTATAAAAAGAATGCACCTTATTTTTTCACATTATGATTCGCTATCTGTGGTAAAAACATAAGCTTAACTGAGATAGATGCATAAGCTTTAGTAAAAGAAGCAGCAGTACAGTTAGACAACATACTCATGAAGTCATCAGCTGACTTACATGAGAACAATACAGGTTGTATAGAGTATTGGCACTCTGACATAGAAGGGAAACTAATCTGCTTTTCTAGTCCTGTTTAAGTTACATGTTCTGATCTCACTGATTAACCTTTTTAGTTGAAAATGAAACCTTATCTGGTATTTGTCAACATACTTGGTTCTTTAATAGAATAAATCTAGGTAGAATTCATTGTAGCAAATTCAAAGTGCCAAATAAATATACAACTAATTGAAGTAAACTAAATAGTATAATAGATTTAACAAATGAGAGAATAAAATCTTCAAGTACTTCTTAGAAGCAAGGATGACAAAGCTTCATCTCACATACTTTGGGCATATTATCAGGAAGGGCTATTCCTCAGAAAGAGACATCATGCTTGGAAAGGTCAGTGAAGGAGAAGATCTTCAGTGAGATGGAGTAATACAGTGACTGTAGCAGTGACCTCAAGTATGTCAGAAGTGATGATAGGCTAGGTCACGGTTCAAGTCTGTTGTTCATAGGGTCACTATGAGTTGTACTTGATGGTGTATAACAACATTCAAAACTAACAGATAACCAATTTTATATCAGAAGAGGCTCTACTTACCTTGTTGTTAAGTGCTGTCGAGTTGTAGGCGACTCATAGCGACCCTATAAATGAAAGACCTGAACACTTGTATAACTTTCATTGTTTCTGCAAGTTCATTTCTAAGTGGATGCCACTCCTGCTTCCAAGGTTGTTTTAATCGGGGAGCTCCACCAAACACTGTCTACCATGGGTAACCATTGTTGCATTTGACACATCAGTGTCACAGTGTTCAATATCATAGCAACCACGAATTACCCACCTCTGTACAGCAAATGGACAGACCAGTGCTATACCACTTAGAAGAATGTTTGACCAAAACAATTAAAACCAGGCCTGAGGGCCGCAGATTAAAATCACCCACCTTTCACTTGGTAGCATCACTTTGTGTCCACTAGGCCAAATGAGCTCTATGTTGTTGTTGTTGTTTGTTAAGTGCCATAGAGTTGTAGACAACTCATAGTGACCCTATGAATGAAAGACCTAAACACTTGTATAACTTTCATCATTTCTCCAAGTTCAATGCAGATTGTTTACCAAATATCAAATTAATTCAAATATTCTAATCTCTGGTTATTTCTGCAGTAGTCTGATTTCCACTTGAAAATACCTGTTAGAATAAATTTTATTGTTTGTGTAATATACAGGGAACTCTGGTGGCCTAGTGGCAAGAAACTGTGCAGCAATTCCAAAGGCACATGGTTCAAATTTACCAGATGCTCCATGAGAGAAGAATGGGCAGTCTCCTATGTGATTTACCACCTCTGAAAACCCACTGGAGGGTCAGTTAAGGATCATTTCCAACTCGATGGCACACAACAACTTTAATATACAGTGAACGTTAGAATTGGCAAAGGGTGAATGAAAGGCAGAATACAAAAATCTCAAGAAGCCCTATTAGTTTGATAAATAAATCACACTTAATTGAAGGTCAAACCCACTAGGCACTCCACAGGCAAAAGGTATGACAACTAGCTTCCAAAAGACTCACTGCTCTATGGGGTTGCCATGGATTGGAATACACTCAGTGGAAATAGGCTTTTGTTACGATTTATTTAAATCATAAAATTTTGAAAAAACTTGAATGACTAAAAAGCTCTTAATAGAAAATTAAGCCTTTTAACCAAACTAATTTGCACACTAGACTAGGTACTTAATGACTGCATCTTTCTCAATAGTTCTCTGGACAGTTGGTAGATGAAACATTTTCCATGCTCTGCCTTTTTAGTTTGAGCCTTCTTTCAGATGCAAAATGTGTGCTTAGTTCCTTCCAACTCAGGACCATTGCTGGAGGAGTCATCTACTTAGAATAACTATTCCCTGTGGTTTACCCTTTGCTTTGTGAGTACCTCTCCAGTCCCCACAGACTTTTATCTTCATCATATCTGTGATGGTTAAGATTCTGTCAACTTGGCGCTCTATAAAGGAGTGTGGCCAGCATGAGGACAACTTCACAAGGGAGAATTAGTCCTAATAACAACATCTACATAACAGAACCAGATTTTATAAGACATGCACCAGCCATCCCTCGCACCTGTTGCTACCAATTCTACTACCAACTTTCTCTCCCAGGACTCTTCCTGCTCTGGCCACACAGAAATCATAAGACCATACAGTTAATGGAGCTTAGTAGAGTTAATAGGTTCCAGTTCAGGTTGGAAACAAGATGTGGTTCTTCAGTCAGGACAGTTCCCCAAGTGTTCTTGCAGGCCTTTTGACCTGCAGTTTCTCGGCTATCAGTCAGTGTTATAAAACTCTTCTAGGCTTGCCAATTATGGTCCCCCTCCAGGTCCTCCAGCAAGCTTGGGCAAAGGCTCCTGGCTCTGTCTCCACAGGGTAGCAGTTCTAAGCTCTGTCTCACATCAGTCTTTTGATCTCTGCTGCAGCTACTCGTCTGGGGCTTAGTCTTACTAATGCAAGACTCTCTGGCTCTGAAGGACAGGTGCTGCATCCTTTGCTTCTACTCTCTTGCTAGTAGCGTGTTTCCCGCTGCTAAACTTGCTCATTTTCAGCTTGGTGGGGTGTCAAGATTTACCAATCCCCTCCTCCAAGTCTACTCACCCTCTTTACATTTTCCCCACCCAGCTGTCTGTTGAAAGTCAGTGTCAGAAGCTTAGGAAAGCCATTTGAAATAACAAAGCCACTACACCACACTGTCTGATTCTCTGGTTTGGCAAGTTGTGTAGTCATTTCCTTCATGAGACCTGATAGAATGTAATCAGCTCCATGATGAGATTTATGAGCAGCAAACTGATTGAAAGGGAATTTGCATGAGGTTGTGGCCTGCATCACCAATGTATGGCTGGCTGCCAGAATGCTTACTTTTGCTTCATTGGAAAACTGCAATCTGGCTCATCCCCATTTGACTTCTGATTATTTGGATTTCAGTCAGTTGTGTGCCTTACTGCCTGCTGATCCTGGATTGTCAGCCTATGAAGTCACAAGTTACCATGTGATTATAATCTTGGGCTCACCTTTCTCGCTCTCTCTCTCACACATACCCTAAGACATCATCCATCAACTTGGAAAATCTGAGTATCATCTGTGGAGAAAGCTTTCTAGGCTTGCCCTCGACTACATCAGTTCTCAGTTTGACACTCAGGATAGTATATAATGTGTGGGGTTGCTAATTGCAAAGTCAGTACTTAAATCCACCAGTCACCCCTCAAGAGAAAAATGTACAGTCTCCTCCCACTCCATTGAAACCCAACGGAGTATCACTATGAAACTGACTCAATGACAATGATTTTGGTAGCTAATAGTTTGTAATTGACAACTGTGTCCCTAGATAGTAAATTCAGAAATACTGGGAAACTTTGCTTTGCTCATCATATTCCAGACACAAAGTAAGCTAAATAAAAATCAATCAGATCCAGTTGTCTCATTGGGACATAAATTATATCATACAAGTAAGCCTATTTTTAGAGAACTGTCTCTAAAGTACTCAAGAGCAATGGGGTCTCTCTGGAGACTAAGGTGCGCCTGATACAGGCCATGGTCTTTGCAATCACTTGTTATGCATCAGAGAGTTGGACAATGACTAGAGAGGATAGAAGGAGAATTGACGCCTTTGAGCTGTGGTGTTGGAGAAGAGTATTGAATGTACCATGGACTGCCAAGAAAACAAACAGATTCATCCTAGAGAGGGTTAAACCAGGCTACTCCTTGGAGGCAAGGATTCTGGGGCTTCGTCTGACATACTTTGGACATGTTGTAAGGAGAGACAGGTCCTTGGAGAGGGACATCATGCTTGGTAGGGTAGAGGGACAGTGCAGGAGGGGAAGACCCTCTATGAGGTGGATTGATTCAGTGACTGGGGTAATCGGGATGGGTGTGTCAGAAGCAATGCGGTTGGCACAGAATAGAGCAGGGTTTAGGGCTTTTGTACATAGGGTCGCTATGAGTCGCAAACGACGGCACATAACAACAACAACTGTCTTTGGACTTCATTGTATGTCTCCGATTTACAGTTGCTAATGTGATTTTAAGTTGTTTACTTGATTTTGAATACTCAGGATTTATTATAATAACAAAATTGTACAATAAAGGTTTAATAACCAAAATAATGTAAACTTTATTATAAAAACAATGCATATAATTTAAAAATTCAGAGTGGTGTAAAGTGATACAGAGAAAAATCTTCCACCCTATAACAGTTTCTTTGACATAATGATATTTAATAAAAACAACATATACAAATTTTACAAGTTAACCAACATAAAAATTTTACATTAAAAAAACTAACCAATTACAGGCTTTTGTTGGTTTTCTTGATTTGGTGTTGAGATACAGTCATAAGTATCACTACTGACACTGCAAAGAATGGTTAAGATTCTAATTTACAATAAAATATGGTTGACACTGGATTGCTAAAAGCATGTTCTCTTCATTAAAATACTGCTTAGATAGAAATTTTACTGATCTTCATCACCAGAATTTTACAGTCTTGTCTTGTAAATGTAGCACAAATAAAATTAAAGAGTTACCAAGCATGTAGAGATAGAGCACAAATAAACTCCACAAAGTACTGCTGTGTAATGTATCTACCATCATGTTGATGAGGCCAGTTGTTACATTTGATAGCAAGAAGAAAAACAACTGGTTTCTGTTAATAGCTGTGATTAAACAAAGACTAACTCCTTTTCTTTCTGCTTTAGGGACTTCTGAATGCTTTTTAGTTGCAGCAGGTGACTGATTAAGTTCCCAAGAGCATGGTACTAGAGCCCCTTTAAATAAAAATTTGGCAAAACTCAAAATTATATCACTTACTAATAAACTACCCAGGAGAGTCAGGATACTCGCAACTACCCAAACACAGAAGGCTAAGTTAGCCATTCTTCGAGATACTGCTTCTACATTTGCCTGAATTATGTAAAGACATACAAAGAGGCTAATACCTGTCAGTAGAAGACAATATATTACTTTTATCCAGTCTTTGATATGTGATCTCTTCTTAAACAGATAGGACCCTGTTTGAACCCCAGCCATATATATTGCTATATACCCCAAAGTAGAGATTATTCCTTCTCTGTTGGCATTTAAGAAGCCAACCCTTGTGTCACTGCCATCAGTGCCATACAAAAGCAACCTCTTCAGTGGGGTAAGGTCAAGAGCTAGCTGGTAAAGTATGATAATGCTGATAGCTACAATCCAGGATTTATTTACAGGTAAGAAAATCAAAAGTACTGATGTTATCAATTTTACAACTGCTAATGTAAAGAAAAAGTTCCAGTGTACGCCATATTCCGTTAAATGTTCCTGATAGCCTATGCTTTTTATAATAACTACTCGTCCTATTCCTAGGAAGACTAACGGCCACACGGATTGCAGTGACTTTGTCAGGTTATAAAATGTGGGTTTTCCCATGTGGGATTTCCTCCTAACCTCTGAACAAACCACTGCAGCCCCAAAAACAAAGCTTCCTGCTCCAAAATCCATTGCTCCTGTTCCATAAAGCTCTGTTTTAGCAAACCGTCTGGGGAAAAGTGGAAAATCCACAGCCAAAATGGCTACAGCAGTAAATACACTGTTAAGTACACGGAAACAGGAGATGGCTGGAATGTATTCTGAATGTACTCTGATTTTCAAGAATTTTCCTAGGATTTTCTGCATAGGCACTCTGGCATAGCAAGTCCTCTTGTGATACACTTGATAGGATAGTCCTGCCCCAAAGATAAATACAGTGAGATACTCAAGGAAAAGAAATGAAGACAAAATGGTGAGAGTGGCCACCTGAGGAACTATCAGGGCAACAAAGTCAATGAAGAATTGTGTTTTCCATGTATACGAAGAACCAAAGTGCTGTAAGAGAATAATCACCAGCCCTCTGCACAGGATACAAGGTACAGGAAAACACAAGCCCTGGATTATTTCCAGGACAGTGGTTCCATTGAGGTTACTGACAAAAGCTTCCTTCATCTGCTTTTGAGACATATTTTTCTCTCTGAAAACAAAAAGAGCAAACAAATAGATTGGTGGAAAGCCATATTCTTGTGAGATTTGTATATGTAAGACCTGACTTGATTTTTACTAGGTTGTAATAGAACTCTGGTGGCTTAGTGGTAAGGAATTGCATTGCCAAGACAAAGGTATACAGTTTGACTTCTCCAGCTGCTCCTCAGGAGGAAGATGGGCAGTCTCCTTCCATGCTATTTATTATCTCTGAAAATGCAATGGAAGGTCAGCTCTGGGTTGTTCTAAGCTGACCATACACAACAACAGAACCTTAGGCCCTAGTGATTTCCAATCAACAGTATAAAGGATCTTTGAGTCCTCATTCAAGAAATCTAGGAAAAAGTCTTTATCACTGATGCATTAGGATGGAAATGTTTTAACCTGTTGTATACTATCGAGTCTCTCTTTTCATTATTATTGTGTGTGTGTGTGTGTGTGTGTGTGTGTACCCCTCAAACCTGATCTGACTGTAGAGGAGGAGACTGTCCCTCCTTCTCCAGTAGAGTATCTGGTGGATTTGAACCACGTACCTCTGGAATTACAGTGCAGTGTCTTGTCACTAGGCTACCAGAGCTCTCAAGTCTTAACCAACTTATAGCTGACCACCTAGTAGGTTTTCAGAGGCAGTTAATGATGGCATGGAGGAGATTGTCCAGAGGACTTGAAACACCTGCTGTTGGGATTCTAGGCCACCCGAGCTCCCCAGTGTTATAACTAATAGTTAATAAATTATTGGTTAAGAATTCAACTTATGCACACCCATACTTATTGCTGTGTTGTTCACAAAAGCAAAGAGATGGAAGCAACCCAAGTGCCCATCAACAAATGAATGGATAGGTAAGTTATGTTCTGTTCACACAATGGAATACTACATAGCACTGAAAAAAACAAGGAACTCAAAATACAAAATGGGTGACCCTGGAGAATATTATAATGAGTGAAATACTTCATTCAGTCACAAAAGCACAAGTACTGCACAACGTCACTGTTATAAAACAGGACTGGCAAGGGGATTTGGGGGAAATTAAGAAAAGGGGATAAAACAACACTGCATTTAAATTGACGAGGGAAAGAACTGTCTAAAAGAAATATATGATTAGGTATTATTTGCATGACAACAGTCCAGAATAAGAGGTGCATAGCAAAGTGGACTGAGGGGCGGGAGGGTGGGAGGAAATTATGCAACAATGAAAGAATCTTTAAAGAGCAAAGCGGACCGAGTGCGGGGGTGGGGGTGGGTGGGAGGGAAATGTGCAATATTACCTGTTAAGCTACCTGGAAAGTCAGCACTTCAGCCATCCATCCGTTCCTCCGGAGAAAGGTCTGCAGTCTCCTATAAAGATTTACAGTCTCGGAAATCCATGGGTAGGGTCGCTACCATAGGATCCATAGAGTTTGGAGGATAAAGAATTTTAGTCTCATAAGGCAGACTCACAAAGAAAGTGAATGTGAGATACAAACCCCGAGAACAGCATCAGAGCCTGATAGCAGTTTCTATAACAGTGAATAGAAATGCATCATGAAGTTTCTTTAAAGAGGATTACTTAATGAAAACTGCATTTAAAAACCTGATTTTCAGCCAAATTTCAAGGTGTTTCAAAAGGGTTTAAAATACCTTTCTGCCTAATACCAATTGCTGAAAAGGGGCGCCCAGGACTTTTTTTTATCAAACAAGAATCATCTAATGAATGAATGCACGTCTTGGAAACCCAGCAAAAATAATTCACCATAACAAGCCAATTCCAAGCAGCTGGCCTGGAAAAGAAGAAAGTCCTTTTTCTCACGTACTTCCGCCCCAGCTACATACACCTTGCTCTGACTGCTCTTGTTCTCCAGCTGGTCCTGGCGGCTGCCAAGGCTGAAGACCCTTCGCGTGGGTACCGCCAACTGGGTCCTAGCACTGGGCTTGACAAGGCGGAAGTAAAGCTACTTCCGCATCCCGAGAGGCGGCGCTTCTGGCGGGCGCGGGGAAGCCTGCTCTTCCGGGGCCGCAGATTCCATACGCACTCCCTGTACCCCGCTGGGATGGCGCGGAGTTCACACGGCCAGCTGGCTCCTCACTCTTGGGCTCCGATTGAGTTTGTCCAGGCCACATCTTCTCTGGTCGTGGCTTTACGCCAGTCTATCACCCGAGATTCCAGGAATGGAAAAACCGCCTCGCCTCACAATGCCTGCCAGGTCAAGGCTGGGCCACAGCACCCTCTGCTGAAAGTCCCTAATTCCTGGTTAGAGACTCAGGAAACCCAGCTTTCCGCGCTTCTCCTCCCTGAACACAGATTTCTGCCTCCAGCTACACCATCACCCATCCTGTAAGCCACGGTCTCTACACTTCGGCCCCGGATAACCGAGCCCCAGCTCTGGAGGAAGGCGTGGCGGGCAGGCCACGTGCGCCCCGGGCCGCATGTGCGGCCCCGCCCCGGGGGAGGAGCCCGGAGGCTCCCCGCTTCTTGACCACGGCAGCCGCAGCCGGTGTATGACCCGGCGGTCCCGGCTTTCTCTCCTGCGGCTCCGTCCCACCCACACCCGCCCGAGTGTCTTCCCGCCGCCTCTCCCGGACCTCCCGCCTTTCCAGTGGGGCCGGGCGAGGGCCGCGTCCTGGTCAGCACGGGCTCTGGGACCGGTGAGTGGCACCCTTTGCCCAGATCCGAAGTCCTTCGCGATCCCAAAAGTGTCACAGGAAGGTTGGTTTGTCTGGAGAGATGAGGAAGAAGGGGACATCGCCTTGTCTCTTTTTCCAAAGAGCCTTTTCTTGGCTTTTTCATATCCAAAAAGGAGCCGGTGCCTAGACCCAGGACTTTTCATAGTCGTCCTGTCCTGGGTGGGGCGAAGAGTCCCTTGGCTGATGGTCTGGGGGCCCTTTCCTCTCCTGAATGACTCAGTGACCAAGGACCTCAGGGAAGTTGCGCCCTTGGATGGGGTCACATCCACCTTCCTGGAAAGGGCATACTTTCGCTGTGTCAGGTGTTTCCGGAGCGGCATCCCAGTCCTGAGCAGGGCGAGCACCTTGCCCGGGCGGGGAGTCCCCGGTTACCCCCCACTTGCCCGGGAATCTCGGGAGTGGATCCTGCTGTGGCTCCCCTCCCAGCTGCCTTCTCACTGCCTTGAGAAAAAAGATTGTGGCTGGGAGGAGGAGAAGCTGGAGATCGAGTTGCAGCTTGTCTTGTTATTTCATCTACTCATTGCTGTCTCTCTTGCCCGCAATGGTTACACCCTATCCAGAAAGTCTCTGCTGGTGGTGCAGTGGTTAAAGCGCTGGGTTGGGAACCAAAAGATGTAAAAACCCATTAGCTACTTTGCAGAAGTGGTAGTCTGCTTCCATAAAAATTACAGTCCAAGGGGAGCTCTGGTGGCCTAGTGGTAAGGAGCTGCAACTACAATCCCAGAGGCGCACGGTTCAAATCCACCAGATGCTCTGCCGGGGAAGGAGGGACAATCTCCTCCTGTACCAGTCAAATCTGATTTGACGGTACACGCACAGAAAAAATAATAAAATAAAATTTAAAAAAAATACAGTCCAGGAAACCTATGACAGTGGGGTTTTAACCTGTGAAGTTCATAGAGGTGCAGGAGCTGGGAAACTGGAGAACACGGCTCTAAACTGACTTGGCCTGGGATCCCAGACTACATTGTAATACCTTATATTTTCCAAATGATTTTACAAGTACTGTCCCATTTAATCTTTAACTCTATACTGTGGAGTCTAGACAGTAATTATAACTAGCAGATGTGGTAACAACAGTTCTAGTGCTCTATGTTCTGGCTGTGGGGAAGAAGGTTTCTGGGCATCAGATTTTAAAGATCTTGTCTGTTGTGGTTCCCCTCTCAACTGCTATCTTTAAAGAGCTCCCGGTTGAGGGAGCTTTCTTCTTGAGTCTCTGGAGCATGGGAGTCTGAGAACAGTCACTGTCAGGGTGAATTCGTCCAACATGTCCTAATGCCCTTCCCTGCCCATGTTGTCTTTGTCCTAGTGTCTGTGGAAGTCCTCTGTATTCAGAGCCCCAGGAAAATCTGCTAGGATGGATGATTTCTTTTGCTGGGAAACTCCAAGTCTGGGGATCACTTCTGGTTCTCGGGAGATTGATTTAAGAGTCAGCCTCAGGACTGCCCTTCCCTCAGACATAGTCTTTTCCTGTGAAATCCTCACCTTGAAATTGGATTGCCCCACCTTACTTAACCTCCTTTATAAACTATCAACTCTTTAGTGGATTGAATAGTTTTGTACTTTGTAGTACTTTTATTGTTTACCCCATAGCTGACCCTCCAGCAGGTTTTCAGAGACAGGAAGGAGGAGATTGCCCAGCCTTCTCCTGCCTGGCAGCTGGTGGCCTTGAACCCTATGCCTTCAGGATTGCAATGCAGCTTCTTGCCATTAGGCCACCAGAGCCAGCAGTACTTTTAAACAATGACCTTCAGAACCACTCTTCGTGAGCTAGATTATACTAATCACATTTTCAAAGTGAGGAACCTAGGCGATCCAGGGAAGTGGTATGCTTACCGGAGGTTACTCTTAAATGAATGACTGAGCTGTGATTCCCATACCACAAAGCAGCTTTCCTGGAGCATCATGAATTGACTCAAGACCCCTGCCAGTCCAACCACCTACTGGCTACAGTAAAACAAGGTGTTTCTAGCTGAGAGAATAGAGCAGGGAGCTTCTCCATTTTCCTATGATCTTCTATATGCTCCATAGTACAGTGACTGAAAACTTGCAGCCTGCCCCAGCCCTTGTCATAAAATTGGCTCTGAGGCTGCAGAAGGAACCTAAAGAGCTTCTAGAGGTTCTTGTAAAAGTTTCCCTGAGCCCATAATTGGCAGACGACAGGGCTGACTCTTTTGCCCAGTTTCACCCTAGCTCTCAGTTACTCCTGCTTGGTGGGCGGAGCAAGAATGAGTCACCTTGGGGAAGCTCTAACCTACCTGTGTGTGGCCCTTGTCTTCTCTCTTACGCCATAGGCTCCAAGGTGACTTGTCTCGGATTCCTACAGAACCAAGCTCTTGGCTAGACCGATGCCCCAGCCCTTGCTCCACAACCAGGCGGAGCACTCATCTTACCTACAGCCTGGAACCCGGGCTGACCACATTGAAGCAGGATGCTCCAGCAGGTAAAAGTTAAGTTTGAGGTAACTTAGATCCCAAACACCTGAGTCCCCTTCTTGGTTTTTCTCTGCTTTAATGAAAGAAAGACAGCTCCACTGTCCTTGCATGGATTAAGGAGGGAGGAAGGGGAACATCATTTAGAGATCTCTGCTTCATTCTTTTCCACCCTCACTGGTCAAGGAACTCTTTTTCATGTCTAATTTTCATGTCTCCTGATTTTTCTTCTGAGGTGGGAAAAATAAGATGGATTAAGGAAACCATAGGCTATTTTGATGAATATGCAAACCTGCACCAGAGAAAGCTTAAGTTTCCAAGAGACATTCCTTGAAGCTAAGCCTTAAAAGAGTAAGAAGAGGCAGGGGGAAAGAGTAAGAAGGAGTATCGAGGTAGAAAAAGGAAAAAAATAGTCCAGGCAAAGAAGTCAACCTGTATAAAGCTATGGGAAGAGATGGCTTATGTTGAAATAGAAGATTCTGATGAATGGATAATGGGATTCATAGAGGGTGTTGTTATTGGCACATGAAACCTACCCTTATTCCAGGCCTCCCTGGAAAGGGCATCATTGCTCCAGGCCTGTGGGAGAAGCTCCATCTAATACCTATATTGTCTGTCTTTTTTTTTTTTTTTTTGCTTTGACAAACAATTTATTTTCTCTCCATTTAGGAAGCTAGAAATCTGAATTAGAGTGTTAGTTCTAGGGGAAGGCTTTTGTGTCTTTTGAGCTTCTGCTCCTGGACAATCTTCATGTGGTGTGACATCTCTCTTCCCTGCTCTCTAATACCTTTATTGTCTTTCATATGCAGTTTCTGACTCCAGAAGAATTCTTATAGATATTGCTGAATTTTTATTAAGTATTTCTAGGCATTGAGCAGAGGTAGATGGTTAAGATGTTCTCTGCCCTCAGGGTGCTGTTTGGACAGTACACAGGTGTCATCTAGTGTTGGGGCCTGTCAGTCTTTAGAAAGGATGAGAATTTAGATCAGCCCAAAGCTGATTCCTTTGAAGTGGAGGTTAGCCATACTCCCCATTCTCAATTCTGTCCCCATTACAGATACCAGCCATCCTCTCTGACAATTTCTACTTCTCTGCTGGCTTTGATAGTTCTTTGTCACACAGACTGAGCTTGTGCTCACAGTTATGTGACTTGTATTTGGGTCAACTTGCCAGTAATAGGATGGTTTCTAACCACAGCAGCTCTCAGCTACTTCTTCGTTATACCATCAGGCAGCCATTTCCCAGCCATGCCTAAAGAGAGCTGTGACCTTTTCTTGGCCATATCAGCCAACAAGCCCTTTGTTAGCCTCTACTCTGCTCAGATAAGGATTATAGCTCACTAACTCCACTGACAAGTCGCCAGTGATGCCCTCCTTTATCAGTAAGCCTCCTGCCTGAAGGTGTTTCTATCTCTTCCCCTCTCTCTCTTTCCTGCTCCCTGGACTAGGAAGCCACAGCAGCTGTCGCATACCTTTCTCTTTGTTCCTAGCATTAAGGCTGCTGCAGCCATTTCCCTATCACTGGACTGTGCTATCAATCCAACGCAATGCCATCGAGTCAGAACCAAATCATAGCTGACCCTCCATTGAGTTTCCAAGGCTCTAAATTGCACATGAAATCGGCCGTCTTTTTTCCCAACAAGCAGCTATGGGTTTGAGCAGTGTGATTCCCAACAGAGGTCTGCTGTAGTTACCACCTTTTTTTTATGTCTTCGGTGTTAGAGTTCTGTCTTAGGTCTAATAGGTTCATTTCAAGGCATTGCCCTGCCAGCCAGACCTCTCCTTGGTAGAACAGTGTCTTTCAATTTGCATCATAATCAGAGAATTCCCACAAGTTACTTAGTCCTGTTGAGTGATTTTACATATTTTATTGTTGTATATGTTAACCAGTTCCTTTCAAGATTGTGGGCAAGCCAGTCATTTTGGCAGAGTAGAAAGCCCAGGACCAGAAATGCCATATGTAAGAGAAATCCACTGCACTGAAACTAATCTAATGGTGCCTAGGCCTGGACTCAGCAGGCTAGCAGTGTGAGACCAGCCAGGCAGGGAGCTGTGGAAGCCAGTCTACTTGACCTCATGCCAGCCATGTGGCTCATGAAGCAGGACTGAGGGATGGACAGAAGTAGGCAGGACAGGTGTCTGCTTTGAGCTTTCTTTATTGTTTATTTTTTAAATTTTTCTATTTAAAAAAGCAGGGTTCAGATCTGTTATTCATAGGGTCGATATAAGTTATATTCAATTCAGTGGCACCTTAACAACAACAACAGTGTTTACCATAACCAAGTGGTTGTTGTTGTATACCATAGAGTTAGAACTGACCCAAAGCTGATCCTCTGGTGGGTTTTCAGAGGCAGTTAATAGTGTAGGAGGACATTACCCAGCCCTTTCCCATGGAGCAGCTGGGGGCCTTGAACTGCATGCCTTTGGGATTGCAGCACAACTTCTTGCCACTAGGCCACCAGACCTTCTTACTAGCAGCTATTCTATGTTGAGCCCTTGCTATGTGGTGGGTACTTAGCTAAGAATTTTATACATGTCATTTTTGTTTAATCATCACAATGTCCCCAGGAGAAAGACAGCAGTATTCTTATCTATATATATGTTGTTGTTACGTATCATAAGAATTCAGAAAATACAAAAACAACATTTAAATCATTTGTAATTACACCACACAGATAACTGAGTATCTTGTGATTTTTCCCCCCCCCCATAAATAAATACTATTAAATGTTTGACGTAGGATACATTTTTGTAACCTGTTTTATTCCATTGTATTCACCATTTGGACATTTTTTATTATTTTCCATTTTTTACAATTAATAAAAGCTGTACATTACATACACTTACTCCCTTCAGTATAATTTTCTGGAATTGGAATGGCAGGCTCAAAGAAAATGGATAGTTTTAAGGCCTTTGATGTATTGTCTATTTAGATGAGCTAATTTTGTCAATTTATTTTTGGTTGTTGGTTTGTGACTTTGAAGAAACTCGTGTATTACAGAGTAGAATTGCTCCATAGGGTTTCTGTACTGTGGTCTTTCTGGAAGCAGATTGCCAAGCTGTTCTTCTGCAATGTTGCTGGCTTTGAACATCTAACTCTGGTTACCAGGTGAGCACAAACCATGTGTACTACCATGGAACCTTAGGAGTCACTTACAAAATAATAATCAAGGAATTCTGGTGGTCTAGTGGGTAAGGAGTGCCAACTGAAAAGTCGGGAGTTCAAATCCACCAGCTGTTCCTTGGGAGAAAGATGGATAATCAGTCACCTCCTGTGCCTTTTATGGCCTCTGAAAGCCTGCTGGAGGGTCAGTTATGGCAGTGAGTCAGTGAGTGAGTGCCTTTTGGGATACTTTATGTTGTGGTGGTATATTCTTAAGTGCTTGCTAATTGAAACGTCAGTGATTCAAATTCATCAGCCACTCTGGGAGGAAGATGTGGCAGTCTGCTTCTGTAAAGATTGTGGTAATAGGGACATCATTGCCAATGTCAAAAGCAGTACCAGAGAAATATCTGTGTTTCATTGACTATGCAAAGGTGTTTGATAATGTGGATCACAACAAATTGTGGCTAACCTTGAGAAGAATGAGAATCCCCAAACACCTGATTATGTTCATGGAAAAACTATGCTTGGACCAGGAGGCAGTCGTCAGAACAGAGCAAGGAAACATTTTATGATTCAAAATCAGAATGTATCAGGGATTTGTCCTGTGTCCATACCTTTTCAGTCTGTATACAGAACAGATCATTTGAGAGTCTGGACTTTATGAGGCGGAATGTGGCATCAGGACTGGAGGAAGATTCATCAACAACCTGCATTATGCAGATAGTACAACCTTACTTGCTGAAACTGAGGAGGGCCTGAAGTATTTGCTGCAGAGGGTCAAAGACTGTAGTTTGCAATATGGCTTGAAGCTCAACATCAAGAAAACGAAGATTCTCACCACTGAGTCCATTGGCAGCATCATGGTAGATGGAGAAGAAATAGAAATTGTCAATAATTTCAGCTTGCTCATTTCTGCAGTCAACATTCTTGGCACCAGCAGTCAGAAAATCAAAAGACGAATTGCATTAGGAAAAATCTACTGTCAGGGACCTCTCCAGAGTGCTGAAGAGCAGAGATGTCAGTCTTGAGACTAAGGTGTGCCTGATCCAGGCCATCGTCTGTGAGGAAGACAGTTGGGTAGTCTCCTCCCATGTGCTTTATTGCCTCTGAGAACCCACTGGAGGGTCAGCTATGAGTCTGTTCCAACTCGATGGCACAGAACAACAATATAACCTTCTGAACCAGGCTTTCCCTCTGATGGACCCAGAGCAGCAGAAACTTTCCAAACTAAATTTGAGTTCTTAGAGGCTCTCTCGGAAGCAAGGACTCTACTTTTTTCCACTTTATTTTTTTCCCTATTAGCGGCATCTTTCAAAAAAGCTCCAACCTATGGATCTTTCCTGTATTCCACAACAGACCTCCTTGGGCCCTACCACTGCCTTCCCCAATAGGACTTCTTATGCCCAATCTGCTAACAGACTTGGCTGCAGTTCTTGGCAGTAGAGGATTACATTTATTGATGACATACTTTGTGCCAGTGCTTTGTATATTTCCTTTTTCTTCCAATACACCTGAGTTGGATTTGTTTTCCTTTCTTTTCAAATAAAGCAGCTGCATATCAGAGAAGTTAAGTAACTTACTAAGGTTCACAGGGCAAATAAATGAACAGAATGGAAATTTGAACCAAACCAGCCTATGATGCCAGAGACCAGCCTACTTTCTGCTCTACAAGTCCTACATTTATAGCTGCAGTTGGCGTGACTTTCAACCCTCATGGCCTTCATGTTATCTATCCCTTTGTAGGTTAACAGCCACAGTCTGGACTCTGATAGCCAAATTGGGGAACCCATTGGAGGAAACCTACAGGATTTTCTGGATGGGGAGACCCTTTTACACGAACTGGATGACCTCACCAAGGTGAATCCTGTGACTCTGGAGACAGGTATGGGCCTTCTCCCCCTGAGTATCTTTTCCCAGTGGTTGAATGTGTGATGAAGATAACTGACCCAACTTCCCTGGCCCCAGACCAAAGCAAGCAGAACTGCTGGAACTTGGAACTAGGTGGATTGTTTCAGACCTCAGCTCATGAGATCCCAGCATCTGTGCCCAGACTCCCTAAGACAGGCTTGGTCTTGATTTGGGGCTCATCTTAATTAGATCTTATACCTATTAATCAGGGAACTACTGGGATTTAATGGCACTTGACTAATTGTAGAGAGAGTACTGCTAGAGGGATACGTGTTTGTATGAGGTGTGTCTGCATTTAAGCCAGATTTTACTAATCGTCTCTGTGTCTCAGTTCTGAGGTGCTTGCAGGCTCGGTACACAACAGACACCTTCTACACCAATGCTGGCTGCACCCTGGTGGCTCTGAACCCCTTCAAGCCCTTCCCTCAGCTCTACTCAGCTGAGGTGATGAGAGAGTATCACACTGCAGCTCAGCCTCAGGTAAGGTGTCTCATGGCCTCAGGGCTCCCCACCCTCCTGCTTAGCCTGGGGTAGCTTCTCTATCCCTATCCTTACAACCATACATTCAGTCTCCTAAGAGCCAAGCCCTGCCTTGGCTTGAAGGAGGCTAAGAAAAAGGGGTAAACAGAAGCTCAGGAGTTTTGGGCACATAAGTAACTGATTATAGGACAGTGAGGGTAAATATTTATTTAACTGAGTTTGGAGCCTTAAAATAGAGACATATGATAAAGAATGCATATATTTTTGTTTGTGGTTTATTAATAGGAAAGGATTTGGAAGATCTGTATGTGTTTTTCAAATCACATATTTGGGAGGTGGGAATAAAAGCATACAACATAAGGACTGTCCTAGAATATCTAGCACACGTTCACTGAAAATAATAAATTCCTATGGAGGTGGGTGGTGGAGCGGCCAGAGACTAGGTTTATTGATATTAAAGTGTACATGTAAGGTATGTTCAGAAAGAAGCAATAACAAACTTGCTGGAGTGGAACGGTGGGGAGAGGAGCAGCAGATGAACATGCAAAAGTGAAATAAGCTGAAGCAGGTTTGAAGGGTCACAGCAGGCAGAGGAACCACCAAGCTTCTTCACCAGGGATGGAGGTGGGAATATGAACCGAGCTGGTCATGGGACCCAGGAAGCTAGGGGAGCTGATTCAGGGAGACAAGCAGTGAGAAGACTTGGAGGCTTTGTGATAGTCCAGGTGCAGGGTGGCTGATCCATGGACACAAGGAGCAGGGACAGCTCTGGAATCAACAGAACGGCTGCTTTCAGGATGTGGAGTAGAAGTGATCACATGCTGGCAGTGCTGGACAGGCTAGGCATCCTGCAGATGGACAGGTCTCCCAGAATCTCATGGTCGTATGTCCGAAAGGACTCCAGGAAAACTTGTCCTAAGCTCATCATCTCCCTGCTGTGTCCCCTGCCTCCCTGACCTACTAGATGTGACCTCCTCAAAAGCAAAGTAATGTCATGGTCCCCTCTTGTTCCTCAGCACCCAGCTTTATGGCCAGTATGTTGAGGACAATGAATGAATTGTTGTTGAAGCAAAGGAATTAAAATCTTTTTCTTTTTTTAAATTATTTTTGTGTGTGTGTACCATTAAATCGGATCTGACTGGTATAGGAAGAGATTATCCCTCCTCCTGCATCTGGTGGATTCAAACCACGCATCTCTGGGATTGTAGCGCAAGCTTCTTGCCACTAGGCTACAAGAGCTCCCTATGGAACTCAAATCTCCTGATTGATGAGTAGTTTGGGAAAGGTTATTGAACTACTCTGAAACCCAGATTTCTTTCTATAAAATAGAAAATTAGCCACCTAACTAACATACAGACTTCTTTGGAAACAACTTGTAAGAAAGTTCTTTGCAACCTGCAAAGTACAATAACTAATTAACAGCAAAGGAAACTATGAATGGTTAAGACAGGGGCTTGAAGTGTTTATGTCATACACTAGTCCAGGCCAGGACTGCTTTCTGGCTGAGAGAAGGTGAGTGGATGAAGCCACCATGGAGGTCCCAAAGTTGGACCTGACACTGGTATGGAGAAAACTTTTCTGGAAGGAAGCATACTGGCATTGGTATTTCTCGGCCATCACTCCGTGGAGAGAGGTGTTCACTCACTTGAACGTTCACCTCTTGATGTTACAGAAACTGAAGCCCCACGTCTTCACTGTGGGTGAACAGACCTACAGGAATGTCAAGAGCCTGATGGAGCCAATTAACCAGTCTATTGTTGTCAGTGGAGAGAGTGGTGCTGGAAAGGTAGGCGGGCCTCTCCCCATGCTGTCAGCATCAAGACTGGCTGAGTGTGCTGCCTAGTCCTTCCCTTATCTGTTGGCTTAAGCAGAGTCAGCGTGTGTGGTGGGCAAACACTGGACTAGAAGTCCACAGGCCGAGTTCTAGTTCAGGCACTACTGAACTCCGGGTAAGATGGTTTTATCTCTGTGCCATTATTTTCTCATTGAAAATCACTCCAAGCCCAGCTGCCGTTGAAAAACAAATGCTAGCTTTGGGGGATTACAGCATAGTGGTGATGAATTCCAGGAGGGTGCCTAGCTTCCGTAGACGCCAGTTCCCTCAGCTGATAATGGCATTGAAGAGAGGACTAGCCTGTGTCAGATTACCCAGGAACTAAGATGCATACTTACTTGCTAACAATTACTCATTTTTTTCACCACATCAAAGATTCTGCTTCTAAATTTGGTTGGCAACTTTCTCTCGCTGCCCTAAAGCTCCTTCCTATAGAATCAAAGCCTCTTTTCAAGTTTAGAATTCCTGACAGGGACAGAGTGAAATACCCAGTGAGCGACGCTCATTTGTGCTTATTTGCTAAGCTGTAGTGTATAGTTTCCCCTCCCCCCCCCAAGCACAGACTCACTACAAATTAGTAAGTAAGCACAAGAAGGCCCACACTTACTTTGTTGGGTAATCAATAATCCTGGTGTTGGTATGAACACAACTTGTGGGGCTGCTGTGAGGGTTACATGAACCAGTGTCCACGAAGCAGTATGTGTGGGCTTGCACCTGGCCAGCTCCTCAGCAGTAGCAGGGTTATTTGCGGAAGAGGGTTTATTGGGCAGTCTACCTTATGCCCTCAGGGTTGCCCATGCTGGCAAGGGTAGTTCACTGGGCCAGCAGTGAGCGCATATAGAATCTTGAGGTGTGACCTGTGGCTTCACAGGTGAGACAGGTGTTACATAAGGATGGACATTGCATAGCTACTTAGAGGAAGCTCCTGGCAAGGCCTCCTTCCCAAGCTTCATACAGCTGCTCTGCTCTTTCCGTGTTACTCTTACCTTCACAGGAGCCTTTGCACAATGAGCTCATTCTGTTCACACCCACGTATGACAGAACTGCTGGGCACCTAGGTACTTAGGCGTGGGAGGGGAGAAATGTGTGAAAAAGCTAACATCCAGTTGACTGAGCCTCTTAGTCCACTGTAAAAGACAGACAAGGAAATAAAGGAGGACAGTAAGTTGTAGAAGTTAAGGCTCAGGTAAAGAGAGGCTGTTTCCGAGAGCTGCATCCATGGGCTCATGAAACATACCTGACACCCAACTTCCCTGGCAAACCCCATTGCCCCCCAGAATTATATGAGGTAGCTGAGGCAGGATCTGACCTAAGACCCATGCAACTAGAGTTCAGTAATTCTATTAAACAGTCACTATGGCCATGGATAAAGACTGAGATAACTTTTAAGTTTATTTTGAAGTGAGAAATATTGCTACATGGTTGAAAGTCAGGCCATACCATAAGGCTTACAAAGGAAAACAGCAGCTCTCTCTTATCTCTGTCATCGTCCCTCACTTAAGAGATGGATATTTTCACATCTTTTCATTGTTTGAACATTTACATTCATATTTCTAAGCCACATATGTATAGTATTGCTTCTTGGTCTTTCAGATTTTTTTTTAATAATTTTAATGAACATTTACAGAGAATCTGGATTTCCATTCATTCATTGCTGCACTTCTCT